GGGTTTAGGGTTTAGGGGTTTGGGTTTGGGGTTTAGGGTTTAGGGTTACCGTCTGAGATGTTCAGGGCTTCGTCCCTCAGGGCTGTGGGTTTGGTAATGTGAGGCCCATTGACTAGGGCGTAGGGCATTGAGAGCTTCGAGGTGGTCCGTGAGAGTAGGGATTGAACATTGGAGCTATTGGGGTTTAGGGTGTAGGGGTTTAGGGTTTAGTCAACCTTATTCTACTCCGAACGGCCCTAGTCGCCCCCCACTCTGTTTGGATCATCGCAGTCACTCGGGGGAAGAATATGTAAACGTCGCCCCCGCTTGCGTTTACTTGGGGGAAACGACCATGGATGTAACCTCATCATGTACAGAGGGGTACTTAGGCCAAGCGTTCCCTCGAGATTTACATAATTTCGCAACGAATTTGCTGCTATTGGTAGCCGTAAAATCCATGCGTTCATTGGGGGAAGGGATGCCGCGGTCGACCTCATCAACTTCCTGTTCATTGGGATTTCAGGTTCCTCCGACCAAAACGGTCAGCTTTCGTATTCTGCTTCTACAGATGTGCCTGCGGTTGAAGTTGTTACCCGATGCAGTTGCAATCGGGATATGTCCGGCATCGCTGTAGATGTGTAAATGGCTCCAAAGAGGAAGTTCTTGACTGCCAATCCAGTCTGATGCGGCATGTTGCTTCAAATCGAACCCAAGGGTATCGTTCAACCCCATACACACATCTAGGACAGGGTATCGTTCAACTAGACTAACATTTGCCCACAAGCCGGGAAAGAATCCCTAGGCTTCCCTAAACCCCAACCCCGAAACCGCAACCCAGCCCTAAACCCTAAAGCCTAAACCCTAAACCATGGTTTACGAACAAACGTGTTGTCGGATGTGGGAGACACTTGGTATGTGAATCTCGGGTGTGAGAGACTCGAAGATCTAGATGTCATGGATGCATCGTTTCGCTGCGTTACATGCGTATACATGGTGTTTGACATGTTTTGTCGCATGTGGAAGTTTGCAAAAACCCACATGAAACCTGTGGGTGGGACTTGCGTTCCCTCGGGGAAAAGCTTCTTCCAGTTCATGGTGGATAACATGTGTGCCATTTCTCGTTGCCCTCCCTCGGTGAAAATTTTGGGTGGGACTTTTCGGGGTCGTGGGTGGACCTGCGTTCGGGAGAAAGTAGTCGGAGGCAAAGTGGGTGGGACTAGGGCCTCCCGCTGTAGAATTTTCGTAGTTTAGTAGTGCTTTTCAGCTGAATTGTGAGTGGTGTCTCACACGCCTCTTCCTGCTCCTGACAAGACACAAGCAACATCTGCTGCCCATCTTTACACCTGCAAATCCTAAGGCCACTAAGCCCCAGGTCCCAATGCCTTTTTTGCTCGGCCCCCCCCCCCCCCCCCTCTCCCCCGGCCAACCAACCCTCAACCTCAATCCCGAACCCCTTCACCCTAAACCCCATGCCTGCGGAGAGGTCAGCCAAACGGCGGCGTCTGCCGAGCAGGCTGTGCTGCAGCCCCACAGGGCTGTAGAGTTGACCGGGTTTTTCTGGGGTTCAGGCTTGAGGGTTTAGGGCTCAAAAGGTTCTCATGTTCTTGGGTTTCGGGTTCAAGTCCTAGTGGAGTGGCTGATCTAAATCATGGGCTCTGCGGCACCCAATGCCAAGCGGCATAGATGCAAACCCATGTATGGATTCGGGCTTCAGGTGCTTTGGGGGGGGGATTGCACCTATGAAAGGTGCCCCCCCCCCCCCCCTTCCCAAACAACCCTAAAACCCAAACCCAAAAACCAGGGACCCCCTAAACCCTGGCCCTAAAACCTAAACCCTAAACTCTTGTGAAACTCATCCTAGTTCGACCCCGCTAAACAGCACCGAGGTACCGAGGTCGTATCTCCCTTTACCTTTCTGTTTCATTTAGTAGTTCTCACCTCGTGTATCCGAAGGCGCCTTGACTCAAAGCCAGCAAGAAGCAGCTACGAAGTACACCGCCCTAACAGCTCCTCCGACACCCTACTGAGAATACCAATTCAGGGGTTCAGGGTTCAGGGTTTAGGGTTTAGGGTTTAGGGTTTAGGGTTTAGAGGGCGCTGCGCAGGAGGAGCAGAAGCGGAAGGAGCGGGAGATGGACGAGGAGAGGCAGCGCGAGCGCGAGCGACAAGAAAGAGAGCAGCGAGAGAAGGAGAAGGAGAGGGCCCTAAGGGCCCCTTGGCAGATCGGCAGCTGCTTTTACACTCTTGATAGCCTAGGATGCCCAGTAGTACCCTTATTCCCTTTTTGGGGAATTTTAGGTTCCCTTGTAAACCCCTGTAAGGAAAAAAGGGCACCCTTTTAAAAGGGCGCCCTTTTTAAGCCTACGTTACTGGGCAGCCTCGTAGCCCAGTGGTACCCTTTTTGTGGTTTAGGGTTACAAGGGTTCAGGGTTTAGGGGGTTCTTGATGGCCCAGTAGTACTCCTTTTCCCTTTTGTGGGGTTCAAGGTTCCCCGATAAAGTAACCAACTCAAAAACACCCT